AATTTGTATTCCTCTAGTCCACATAATTTTGACCCAACTTCTTAGTAATACTCAAGTCTTAGGTTAATGAAAGAGCACCTTCACCCCCAATTTCCAACCAGCTCTCTGCCCTGAATAGCATCACCAAACTTCTTGAATTAACTTGACAATGGAGGGAGCTGGGCCTGAGAGGATGTCCCCTAATCTAGGAGCTAACGGGATACAGGTTGGAATCTCAGTCCCTGTCAGGCTCCAATGGACCTGGCAATCCTTTGGGGAGGAGAGGTGTTGTGGGTTGAAGAGTTCTTGGTGAGTTAAAGACTGATTCTTGTCATTGGCTGTGAATGAACTCAAGGCCACGGGATGTGAGCAGAAAATAGGATGAACTCTGTCTCTCAGAATCAGGCCAAAGACAAAGAAGGCATAGAAGACCCTTTGAAGCTACTCAGGCCATTTGGGAGGAATGTGTGAGTGTGCAATGAGGCTGACTTTCAAAGATGAAACTATGACAAGATCAGAAATCTGTGTTTTTGAGCCAAACTATGTCTATCTCTAGATTTGTTTTTATCTTTTTATTCTCATAATTTCATTAAACTAATGCTTCATTCATATCACAGTGTGTTCTATGGCCAGGCACTATTTTAAGTGTTTTTGTTTTGTATTAGTTTTTATATTATAATTATTTTGAGTGACAGAGAGAGAGAGAGAGAGAGAGAGAGAGAGAGAGAGAGAATCTCAAGCAGGCTCCATGCTGACAGTGCAGAGCCGGATGCAGGGCTCCATCCCATGAACTGTGAGATCATGACCTGAGCCAAAATCAAAAGTCAGATGCTTAACCGACTGAATCACCCAGGTGCCCCCAGGCACTAGTTTAGACCTTGGGAATACAGTGAGCAAAACAAGTAAGATTCCTGCCCTGGAGCTTACATTTTAGTTGAGGAATACAGATAATGAGTAAACAATCAGAAAAGCAAGTTAAGTTTAGATAGTGATAAGTGCTATGAAAAAGGTTAAAAAAAAGGACACTGAGACAGAGTGACCAGGGCAAGGGGAGGGAGAGGTCTACCTACTTTGGATGGATGGGCAGGAAGGTCTCCCTCGAGGAAGTGGCATTTCCTCTAAGTAACCAGAAGATCTGAAGAATGAGTGATCCAAGAAGAGCAACAACTACTGTACAAAGGTCTTGAGGTGGAAACATGTTTGGTTGGGCAGTGCATGTTGAGGTAGAGAAAGCCAAGGGATGAAGTCACAAAGAAGGCAGGAGTTAGATCACACAGAACTGTAATTCAGAGATAGGGACTTTGGACTTTATTCTAAGGGCATTTGAAGCCATTAGATAATGTTAAATGGCAATGAAATGATTTATTTTAATTGTGAATTTGAAATTTGGCAAGAATGGAAGCAGGGGGGCTGTTAAATTAGAAGTCTCTTTTAAGAGTCCAGGTGAGACATAACACCTACTCTGACGAGGTGGTTACTTTGACAAGGAGTTAGAAGGAGGTGAACAGATTCAGGATCTATTTTGTTTATTTTTTTAAATGGTTTTTTATTTATTTTGAGACAGCGAGCGAGCACAAGCAGGGGAGGGGCAGAGAAAGAGGGAGACAGAATCCTAAGCAGCCTCCACGCTGTCAGCGCAGAGCCTGATGCAGGGCTTGAACCCATGAACCATGAGATCATTACCTGAGCTGAGATCAAGAGTCAGATGCTTAACTGACTGAGTCCCCCAGGTGCTCCCAGGACCTATTTTCGAAGTAGAGACAACAGAACTTGCTGGTGGATTGGATGTGGGGTATGAGGAAATGAGAGGAATCTCTCAGGGGGATGCTCGTTCCATTTACTAGATGAGAAGGCTGGGAAAGGAACAGGTTTTTGGAGGGAAATCAAGGGACCTGTTTTGCTCATGCTTTGTTTGAAAGGCCTGTGAGACACCCAGATGGAGACAGTAAGCAGATAGCTTGATGAGTGAGAATGAAGCGGGTCTTCAGCAGTCTCTCTGAATTTACAGCCTGTGTGTGGAAACTTAGTAAAGTCTGAAGAGGGGCCTGGAAGGGCGGCCCCATTTCCTCTGGGCCAGCAGAAGCCCCCTACAAAGGCCAGGCCCTTATCATCTGAAGGGTTTGGCATGCCCGTGGGTACCAGTACGCTTCATTTCACATAAGTAGAAGTGCTTAAAGACTTGAGAAGGTCAAGCAAGTTGTAAACTGCTATTTGTCATTTACCTACGTTTCAATTAGCCAAGTGCTTTCTCTTTAATTCTCAATGATCTTCAGATGGCTCTTAGCATGAAGTTTCTGGTTTCCGCTTCTTTCTCATCACTCCCTGTCCTGGCTTCTCTAATCAGCCTTTAATTCTGTGGGATGTTTAAAGTAAAAATCTTTAATCCACCCCTTGATGATTTGGGAGTGCAGGAGAGGTCTCTAAGGGAGCTCAGAAAATTGCTTGCCTCTTCACTACTTCTGGAAAGTTGAAGAGGAAAACAAAGAGTGAGACAAACAGGTGGTTAGGTTGGAGGGAGGGACTTTAGGTTTGGTGGACAGGTGTGCTGGACTAATACTGAACTCCAGAATCAAGAGCTGTCTCCACCCGCTTGCGAGCAGCCCTAGGCTCAGAGCAAACGGGGACCTCCCAAGAGGAAAAATGTGGCAGTGCTAAGCCCAGCATGCTAGGGTACCCTGGCCAAATTTACTTTCTGTCAGTGGTGAAATGGTTACACCTCTGGGAGAGGCCGGGAAATAGCCCTCCTCATTGGAACTTGGAGTGGATAAAGGGCATTTTCCTCTAACGGATAATGGAAATGTTCACTGTTCATTGGCTGGTTTTACAGATTTTGATTTTCAGTAAGTAGGGCATGGTTACATTGCACAAAACAGGTATCAAGCACAATTCTGCCACGTATTAACGGTGTAATTTGGGGGAAAGTTTCTTGAACTAAGTCTCCGATTTCTCATTTGCAAAAATGAGGATACTGTACTGACCTTGTGAGATCATTCCTATAACATGTCCAGCGCACTGCCTGGGTCAGAGTCGGCACTATTATTATTACTGGTCATGATGGCCGTCACTACGACTGTGTTAGGAAATCTGCTAGGTGCTAGGGATATAAAGATAAAAGACATAATCTTACCATCGAGAAGCTGAAGACTCTGCAAGGAGATAGGAATTAAAAAAAAAAACATTAAAATCCAGTGTAATGCATGTGTGGTAGGGTTTCTTACCCAGGAGGGTGCATGCCAGTGATACACTGTAGTGAGACTAAATCTGTGTAGTCTGAGACAGAAGAAACAACTTGGAATTGTGGAGCCCCTCCATCCTCATTGGATACGGGGTCAAGTAAGTAGCTCCCATTGTTTGTCAAGAAATCAGGAAATCGCCTGTGATTTTAATCTTTTTTTTTTTTTTTTTTTTTTTTTTTTTTTTTTAATGGGAGATAGTCACTAGTGAGGTTAGAACAGGGACGGCTCTAAATCCTGAGTGGTGAAGCCAGGGTCCTGAGTAGCCCTCTTGATGGTGCAAAGAGCTCATTACTTTGGAATCTACACCAGGGGCCTAAAGTGGCAGAGCCTGAGGTCCACGGGATGGAGGTGACACGGAGACAGGCTGGAAAGGCCCTACTCGGGCCCAGATTCTGACACTGCACTGACCCTGCTGTTCTTTTTTTTTTTTTTTTTTTTTTTTTTTTGTTTTTTTTTTTTTTAATTTTTTTTTTCAACGTTTATTTATTTTTGGGACAGAGAGAGACAGAGCATGAACGGGGGAGGGGCAGAGAGAGAGGGAGACACAGAATCGGAAACAGGCTCCAGGCTCTGAGCCATCAGCCCAGAGCCTGACGCGGGGCTCGAACTCACAGACCGCGAGTTCGTGACCTGGCTGAAGTCGGACGCTTAACCGACTGCGCCACCCAGGCGTTACTGTTTACTTGTGTTAAACAGCTTTGCTGCCTTGCTCCTGAGCCACCTCACATGCAGAAGCTACTGCCTAGGCATCTTATAGCTGTAATCCATTAATCCTCACTGCATCATCTAACTGGGAATTTGGCTAGGAGCACTTCCTGTTAGAGAGCTCTGGAGTGTGTGGGTGGCCCATCCCGGAAAATAAGCCAAGTACCTTCCAGGCATCAGGGACACATGGCCAGTTTGGCCACATTTACCCTTCTGCCTGGGCCATTAGACTGAGACACTAGACTCCCTTTCGGGCACCTCTTAAGCACAGAAAATCCTGAATTTGTAAAGGAGAGGCTTCTGGAGGTAGGATAGTTTGGACTTCTGGGATTTCTATTACTGGTTTATGAGGGCTCAAGCATTTGCACTCTAGGGATGAACGGGGAGGCACAACGTTTGTACCCCAAACTGTGTAGGAGGCATCCTGGTCACACAAGAGAAGCATGTATGAGCTACAGTAGCATGAAGCCAGGGGTAATGAATTCTGTAAGAGGAGGTGTTGGAGGAAGACTTCTGAGAGGTCAGGCCTGAACAGGTTTTAGAAGTATGAGTAGGCGTTTACAGTGATAGAATGGAGGAAGTTAACTACAGACAGGAAGAACAGCATGGACAAAAGCTTTACTAACTCGCGACATAATGTGGTGTTAGTGAACTCAAAGTAGGTTTGCCCACTTTGCCACGGATTGTTTTGGTAGATTCATTTCTTGTTCCCACATTTCATAGATACTGTTCTGTAGCTCTTCACAAAGTACAGGTTTTCAACGTTTATTTATTTTTGGGACAGAGAGAGACAGAGCATGAACGGGGGAGGGACAGAGAGAGAGAGAGACACAGAATCGGAAACAGGCTCCAGGCTCTGAGCCATCAGCCCAGAGCCTGACGCGGGGCTCGAACTCACGGACCGCGAGATCGTGACCTGGCTGAAGTCGGACGCTTAACTGACTGCGCCACCCAGGCGCCCCACAAAGTACAGGTTTAATACGTGGACATATATGTATTTAGAATATTGCTTGGTACATGGTTAGCACGCTCTTAGTCACACTTCTGATAACTAAGCAGCTCAACTTTGTCTGTATAAGATGTAAAACTACTTTCAAGCCCAACCAACAACCATCCTTTCCCGTTTTCCACTCTTTCCCGCGCCTAAACACCCAATGTCAAAAGCCAACCAAGTTAAGAGGCCAGTCTAAGATAGGTACACCACAAAACATCCAAAATGGAAAGGCTTTAAATGTTTCTGGTCTGGGGATGATTCTAGGCAAACAAATAATATCTAAAACAAGTCTTGAGGATTTTGTTACTTCTGAAGTCTCATTTCAGAGGTTTGTTTGAAACTATCGCATTTGACCCTGTAAGACCACCGTCCTCTATAGAAAGCTGCACGTTGGAGGCGGCACCGAGAATAGTGAGGAGTGTGGAACTGGGCTAGGTGTGGCGGTTCCCGCAGCGAGTGCCACGTAACCAGGGCGCTCCAAGTAATTTGACATCTAGGAAAGGCTAAGAGAAGCGTAGGCCGGCCCGGATATTAGGGCAGAAGACTCGGGTGGGAGCAGAAGCAATGAGCCGTGCGGCCCTGGGCTGGTGGGCAGCCTCGGGGGAGGAGGACCCCGCGTGGGGCGCGGGAAGATGCGAGGAGAGGAACGTCACGCGGTGCCGGGTACCTCCCAGGAGCGCTGGGTCCAATGGGAGGAGGGCGCGAGCCGCACCTCAACCTGCCTGGGGACGTCACGACGCCGAGGCGGACGCCCGGCCAATGGGAGGCCGTCACGGGCAGGGGCGGGGCCCGGAGGAATTGGGCTGGCTCGCAAGGAGACAGTTGGCGGAGTCTTGAGGCCGCTGCCGGAAAGGGGGAGGATCGAGCCGGCGGCTGCGACGCCGGCCTGCGCTAAGCCTCTCGCCCGCCCTTGCCTCTTACCGCATGGTGCCGGCTTCTCGCTAAGCTGGGGCGGCGAGGCGAGAGGGACGCACTGCCGGGGCGGCTCGGAGTCGAGGCTTCCCGTCGCCCGCACTTCCTCCTGTGGCGCCCGTGCGTGGCCGCCTCGGCCAGCGGGATGGCGGCGGCGGCCCGGGGGAGTGGCCGCGCATCGGCGCCCCGGCTGCTTCTGCTTCTGCTGCTAGCGCTGCTGTGGGCCCCGGCCGGCGTCCGCGCTGTGCCGGACGAAGACCTTAGCCTTCGGAAGAAGGAACCGCCGGCGCCCGCCCAGCAGCTGCAGCCGCAGCCGGCGGCCGTGCAGGGCCCCGAGCCTGTCCGGGCCGAGGTGAGCAGGACGGGCCGGGCCGGCTGCGGAGCCGGTGCACCGGGTACCAGGCTCGCGGCCGCCGGGAGCGCGGCGCCCGGCCCCGGCTGCCGGCGGGGGGAGGGGAGCCCGCCCCGGCTCCTTGGGGTGGAGGCGGCGGAGGGCCCTTCTTCCCGGGTCGGGCCGGCCTCGCCCGGCTCCTTATGGGGGAGGGGATGGGAGCGCCCAGCAAGGAGCCCGCTGTAAACCTCCAGTCCGGGAGCATCAGGATGCTGCTGAGGAAAGGGCGTCTTGATGATCAGATGTGCCCTAAAGAGCTGCAAGTACTCGTTCCGGGTAGAAAGTTTGTAACAGAGGACAGCGGGAGGCTTTTCGTATTCCCTGAGGATGAGAACATCGGCCATTTCATTGTTGAAAACGCTCATCCCCAGCTGCTTACCCAAATTCAGCTTTGTATGACCTGTGGTTTTTGCCAAATATATATGGATTATGAAGAGTGACTCTCACTTTTTAAAAACGTGCTCTGGCTTGCAGGAAGTAACCCTCAGGAACGCAGAGGAATAAGCCGTCTTTGACAGTACAGAGTGCTGCAGCGTACGGGATGCCAAAACTAAATTCATAAGCATACCAGAAAGAACCCTGTCGTTTGGCCTTATTAACGACTTTAATGTATGTTAATAGAATCACTTAGTCACTTGTGTCCAGAACCTCGGCGGCAATTTTAAATGTCTTCCCTGTATCGGGGAAGCTTTCTCCTCATTTCCAATTTGGACTCCTGAATTGAGGCCTCTGTGGTCTCTTCTGCTAGGAGAGGTTTGGCGCTCAGCCTCCCAGGCTACATTCGGCCCGTCGCCGCCCAACTAATCTTTCTAAAACTGAATTCTGTTTTACTTCTCAGAAATCCTCAGTGAATTGTCCCCGCATACTGACTTCAGTCCATCCTCTAATGCAGGATGTTGAGGTTTCTCCCTGAGGTGGCGCCCAGTCTTTTTTAGCCACGGCACCCTTGCTCATATGCAATACTCAAACCACTCTAACCTGAGACGCGCCTTGTGCTCCAGGGCTAGTCTCCCAGATGACAGTCTCCCTAAAAAAGGCTTCAGTGAGCCTGGAGCCCACTGGTCAGAACCTTTCCCACCTTTCAGGAACCCGCAGACACCTACTGTCTGTGAAGACTTCCCCATAACTTCCAGTTTAAACGTGATTTCTCTCTTGCCTGTTACCCCTGGGCTCAGCTGACCCTGCTCACCTTTTCCACTTCTGAACTTGAACTGAAATGCTGATTCATGAAATGTATTCTTAGTGTTTATCATTTAGCTTTCTGTCTTTTAAAATCCTCATCTGTCATTAACTTACTACTTTTCAAAGACTAGTTTGGGTGAAGTAACTTAGAGAGATTTTGAATGTAACTTTCCAGGCCTTTTCATCAGAGCTCTAGTCCTATAGTGATTTTTGAGATATAAATAGTGGTAGGTGTGGCTATTAATAATACCCGTTTAGGCGCCTGGTGGCTCAGTAGGTTAAGCATCTGACTGGTTCAGGTCATGATCTTGGTTTGTGGGTTTGAGACCCGCATCTGGCTCTGTGCTGACAGCTCAGAGCTTGGACCCTGCTTCAGATTCTGTGTCTCCTTCTCTCTTCCTCCTCTCCGCCACTCACGCTCTGTCTCTCTTTCTCTCAATAAATAAATATTAAAAAAATTTTTAATAAAAAAAATAATACCCTTTTAGACAGGGAAAATCCAGACTTGTAAAATAAAGGCAGCAGTATGCAATGATTGTATTAAGTGGTCTTAAGGATGCTTGTCTTTAAAACTGGAGATGTGAAGGGAAGGGGCAGGCACAATCTAATAAGATTTTTGTCTTTAATATTTTGATATACAATTGACCCTTGAACAATGGGTTTGAAGTGCACGGGTCCACTTATACATGGATTTTTTTTTCCATACAATACTATGAATATTCTCTGTTATGATTTTAACATTTTCTTTTCTCTGGCTTTGTTATAAGAACACAGTATTTAATACATACAACATACAAAATATGTGTTAATTGATATCAGTTTATGTTATCAGTAAGCCTTTCTGTCAACAGTAGGCTATTAGTGGTTGAGTTTTTGGGCAGTCCAAAGCTTTATGCAGATTTTCCAGTGTATAGTGGCTCAGCACCCCTAACCCCACACTGTTCAAGAGTCACCTGTTTTCTCGGTGGTTCTTTTAAGATAGGAATTTATTCTAAACTCTCTATTGTATGGTAGAATCTAATGATCTTGTTTTAATTATATTTTCATCTAACTTTGATATGGCTCAGAATTTTTTTCTCTACAGTACTACAGCATGTTAGAAGAGATTTTTCTGTCATGTTTTCTGAACTGCTTAATATAAGTATCATTTGCTTTTGTTGTCCAGTTGGTAGAGGTAAGATATGGTCAGGGTTTGGGGCGCCTGGGTGGCGCAGTCGGTTAAGCGTCCGACTTCAGCCAGGTCACGATCTCGCGGTCCGGGAGTTCGAGCCCCGCGTCGGGCTCTGGGCTGATGGCTCAGAGCCTGGAGCCTGTTTCCGATTCTGTGTCTCCCTCTCTCTCTGCCCCTCCCCCGTTCATGCTCTGTCTCTCTCTGTCCCAAAAATAAATAAACGTTGAAAAAAAAAAATTTAAAGATATGGTCAGGGTTCAGTCTAATAACCATATAAGCAAGGGCCAAGCATTGCTGGATATCTGAAAGTTTCAACCATTTTGCTTTGTAGTTACATCCAGTAGATCTTTTAAAAAGGTAGGATATTTAAATTTACTTTTTTCATGCCACTGTGTGAGAGTGGACTTCTGAAAATGGAGGGGGGAAAAATCTCTCCTTTGTTGGTAGGCATTCAGGTGTGAGATGTAATAACATAGTTATATCTCCCAGGGTGCTTTGAAGCAAGATAGCTGAACTTCTGATAGGGCTTTCTACACTGGGTATTTTTTTTTTTTTTTTCCTATAACCAGGTAAAAAAGTTCACTCTCTACTCCTAGTTACAAATAAACCTCAGTTTACAAAGCCATGGAAAGAGTAGTTGTTGACTACTTTGAGTCCTTTCCTTTATGCAGTTTATGCTTCTAGTGACTTACTCCGGTTTTTCTTATTCTTTCCCTGGACAGAGCATGTAATACAAGAAGCATTAAGTCCCTTTAGTTTAGGGAGATCAGGCAGTTTATAATTTGCTGCGTATTCTGGAAGTCCAAAGAGCTGCTCTGGTTGCAGAGCACTGTTGATAAAGCCACAAAAGCCTATTACCTCACCCAGTACAAATTCTTATTGTATTTCTGCTTTACTGTTTCTTGGCATTTGTTAAATTTTTTTTTTTTAACATTTATTCGTTTTTTTAGAGACAGACAGAGTGTGAGTGGCGAGGGGCAGAGAGAGGGGGAGACATGGAATCCAAAGCAGGCTCTAGGCTCTGAACTAACAGCACAGGGCTCAAACCCACGGACTGTGAGATCATGACCTGAGCCAAAGTCAGACACTTAACCAACTGAGCCACCCAGGTGCCCCTGTTTCTTGGCATTTCTTATCTATGAACTGTCAGAAGGCCTTCTATTTTCATGAAGTTGCACTTCTGCTCCATCCAGCCCAACCTCCCACTTCTAGCCTCTTTACAGCGAAGCTAGAGGCTGTCAGGTGACTCTTGTCCTACTCTTGATTGCTGTGTCAAAATGAAGTGATAATTATGTTGATGAATTTATTTGGTGGTATTCTATCCATCAAAGCGATTCATTTAAAAAAAATCAGTGAAACTAAATACATTTAATACATTTCAAATCTCAATTTATAAATATATTACCAAACAGTAACATGTATAAAAATAATGTTGTTAAACTCATTAAAACAAAATGTATTGGGGTGCCTGGGTTGCTCAGTTGCTTAAGCATCTGACTCTTAATTTTGGCTCAGGTCATGATCTCACAATTCATGAGATCAAGCCCCATGTCAAGCTTTGTGCTAGCAGCGTGGAGCCTGCTTGGGATTCTCTCTCCCTCTCTGCACTCCCTTGCTTGCACGTGCTCTTTCTCTCTCAAAACCAATAAACTTAAAAAATGTATTTATGGGGTGCCTGGGTGGCTCAGTCAGTTAAGTGTCTGACTCTTGGTTTTGGCTTAGGTCATGATCTCACAGTTCACGAGTTTGAGCCCCACATTGGACTCTGCACTGAGCGTGCAGAACCTGCTTGAGAATCTCTCTCTCTGCCCCTCCCCTGTGTTCTCTCTCTGTATCTCTCTTAGAAATAAATTAAAAAAATTTTTTAAAAATGTGTTTATAAATTCATATAAATATGAATTAACAAATAACATTAAAAATAAAATATTAAAAAATAAGGGCGCCTGGGTGGCTCATTCAATTGAGCATCCAACTCTTTTTAAAAAAATTTTTTTTTTCAACGTTTATTTATTTTTGGGACAGAGAGAGACAGAGCATTAACGGGGGAGGGGCAGAGAGAGAGGGAGACACAGAATCGGAAACAGGCTCCAGGCTCTGAGCCATCAGCCCAGAGCCTGAGCATCCAACTCTTGATTTCAGCTTAGGTCATGATCCCAGGGTCGTGGGATTGAGCCCGGTGGCGGGCTCCATGCAGAGTTTGGAGCCTGCTTGAGATTCTCTCCCTCTCTCTCCGTCCCTCTTCCCATCTCTTTCTCAAAATAAAAATAAAAATAATAGTAATAATAAACAAACCTAACATTCACAAATAAAAATAACTTACATGACAGTGAAAATTTATAATATAATTTTATCCTTTTTTAATACAATCTCTTAAAACCAGGTTTATCCATGGTATCTTGTTTGTGTTTATTTATTTATTTATTTTTTATCTAATTCTTTTTTTTTTTGAGTATATGAAATTTATTGTCAAATTGGTCTCCATACAACACCCAGTGTTCATCCCAAAAGATGCCCTCTTCAATACCCATCACCCACCCTCCCCTCCCTCCCACCCCCATCAACCCTCAGTTTGTTCTCAGTTTTTAAGAGTCTCTTATGCTTTGGTTCT